ATAAAAATAAACGTCGATTGCGGTTTCACGGCGTTCATCCGATCGCCATCAAACTTTGGGGAGTTGATTAGAACACTACAGGGAAGGTTTCTGTTTAAAAAAAGTCCTCTTTTAAATTCGCAAGGGCGGCGCGACGGGAGGCTGCGATTTTTCTCTATATACGGTTTATAAAAATATAAGTCTATTTCGGTTTCACACCGTTCATCCGTGTACCATGAAGCCTTGGGGAGATGATTAGATCACTCAATGGTAGGGTTCTGCAAAAAAAAAAATTGTTTAATATTGCAAGGGCGGTTTCCCCCGGGAGGAGCGATTTTTTCTCTATACACAGTACATAAAAAATAAAACTCGGATGCGGTTCATCCGAGTGCAATGAAACTTTAGGGAGTAGATGAGAATACTCCCGAGAATATTTCTGCGAAAAAGAAAACTAAAGTTTCTTAAGGGCGGCTCCATGTAGGGTACAATTTTCGTCAATACACGGTTTGGCACCCAAAATTTTAGAGCGACTATGTTGGCACTTGGCATCCGTTAATCGAGCGTCCTGCATAGAGAGTAAGGGTATACTAAATTCAGCGGTAAAACTACAACAGGCTTCTAAAAATAACTTTGTAACGCGAGGAAATCCTGTACAGTTTCGTCACCTTGCGAACGATGAAAAAATAACTTTTTTAATATGAGGAGCCTACTGTAGAGTTTCGTCACTTTGCGAATGATGCAATAAGCATCTATTATTGGACGATTCAGACAGAAATTGAGATCGAGCATCTAACAATAGACCATTAGTAACGCTAGCATATTGCATCAGTCACACTGATGTTTAAAACACGTCAAATAATTTTTTACGTGTTAAAGAAAAAAATCCTGTTCATTTGTGTCACTTTAGCGAATGACGAAATCTGCATCATTGTTTACAGCAGGGGTTCCCAACCCATGGCGCCCGCCGAACGATTCGTATGTGCCCGCCTCTAACTATTCGACAGAGACAGAATTTTTTCATAAACATAATTGAAAGGTTGAAGGGGATGGAAATCGAAAGTTTGAGGGGGGGGGGGGGGTGCAAATCGAAAGTTTGAGGGGGGGGGGGGGTGCAAATCGAAAGTTCTGTCCCCGGATGACTGGAAGGGTCGCTACGCCTCTGGAAGGAGTTTGTCGATTTAAAATAGGTGGTGCCCGCCACCCTACCGATATTTTAGAATGTGCTCTAGAGTAAAAAAAGGTTGGGAACCCCTGGTTTACAGGATGCTATTGGCACGAGGGGTTATCCTATGAGCACGATGGCGCCTGTTAGGTTTAAGGAGCCAGGGGCCGTACGCTGCGCCTATGCGGTAGTGTAATCGGGAGGGGGGGGTGGTGGGGGGGGGGGTCACCGAAGTGTGTTCTACCTCATTATTTCGGTGAGTGATTAATGTACACTCAAGGTTTTCATGCGGTAGTGTAGGAAAACCCGTGTCCCGATAATTATTATCCAAGCGCAAGCATTGTTTACATTTAAATAACACAGTTTTAGAAAAGAAGGACACGCATTTAAGAACATACGATTGGTAATGCATTGGTGATATCCTTCTAATATATATCGTCAGACTTTCTTCTATCCCCGCGGCAACGCGCGGGGGTCGGGTACGCTAGTAATATATAAAAAGCAATGTATGTTTGTGTGTTTGTGTGTCCTTTATGCATTACTACACCTCTCATCACATCGCCGTGAAACTTTGGGAAGTTGTTGTGAATATTCCTGGGGAGGTTTCTGCGAAAAAAAAAATTCACATTCGCAAGGGCGGCGCCACGGGAGGGTGTGACATTTCTCTATATACGGTATATAAAAATAATAAAAAGGAACTGCAGTGACACCATTCTCACGATCGCCATGAAACTTTGGTAAGATGTTGAGAATACTCCTGTGGAGGTTTTTGCGCAAAAAACATTTTCAAATTCGTAGGGGTGGCGCCCCGGTAGGGTGCGAATTTTTTTCTCTATATACCGTATATAAAAATAAAAGTCGATTTTGTTTTGGCATCGTTCATCCGATAGCCATGAGACTTTGGGGAGTTCATTATACCACTCTAGGAAAGGGTTCTGTAAAAAAAAAAATTTTTAATTTCGCAAGGGCGGTGCCACGGGAGGGTCCGATTTTTCTCTATTTTCGGTTTATAAAAATAATAAAAGTTAAGTGCAGTGACACCGTTTATCCGATAGGCATGAAACTTTGGGGAGTTCATTATAAAACTCTAGGGAAGGGTTCTGTAAAATAACATTTTTAATTTCGCAAGGGCGGCGCCACGGGAAGGTGCGATTTTTCTTTAAATACTGTTTATAAAAATAAGTCGATTTTGGTGTGATACCGTTATCCGATAGCCAAGAAACTTTGGGGGAGTTGATTAGAACAATTCAGGGAAGGGTTATGTAAAAAAAAAACTTTTTTTTTAAATTTCGCAAGGGCGGCGCCACGGGCGGCTGCGATTTTTCTTTATATACGGTTTATAAAATTTCGGTTTCACACCGTTCATCCGTGTACCATGAAACTTTGGGGAGATGATTAGATCACTCAATGGTAGGGTTCTGCAAAAAATATTGTTTAATATTGCAAGGGCGGCGCCCCCCGGCGGAGCGTTTTTTTTTCTCTATACACGGTATATAAAGAAAAAACTCGGATGCGGTTCATCCGAGTGCCATGAAACTTTAGGGAGTAGATGAGAATACCCCCGAGAATATTTCTACGAAAAAGAAAACTAAGTTTCTTACGGGCGGCACCATATAGGGTACAACTTTCGTCAATACATGGTTTGGCGCCCAGAGTTTTAGAGCAACTAAGTTGGCACTTGGCATCCGTTAATCGAGCGTCCTGCATAACGAGTAAGGGGTACTACTATATTCAGCGGTAAAACTACAACAGGCTTCTAAAAATAAATTTGTAACGCGAGGAAATCCTTCTGTACAGTTTCGTCACCTTGCGAAAGATGAAAAAATTTACTTTTTGAATATGAGGAGCTTACTGTAGAGTTTCGTCACATTGCGAATGATGCAATAAGCATCTATTATTAGACAATTCTGTCAGAAATTGAGATCGAGCATCTAATAATAGACCATTAGTAACGCCAGCATATTGCATCAGTCACACTGATATTTAAAACACGTCAAATAATTTTTTTAAGTGTTAAAGAAAAAAATCCTTTTCATTTGTGTCACTTTAGCGAATGACGAAATCTGCATCATTATTAACAGGATGCTATTTGGCCGATGGCGCCTGTTAGTTTTACGGAACCAGGGGTCGTACGCCGCGCCTATGCGGTAGTGTAATCGGGGGGTGGGGGCCGTGAGAGCGCCCCTCTACGTCTCTGACACAGACGCGGTCACCGAAGTGTGTTGTAGCATATTGTTTCGGTGAGTGATTAATGTACACTCAATGTTTTCATGCGGTAGTGTAGGTAAACCCGTGTCCTGATATTTATGATCCAAGAACAGGCATTGTTTACATTTAAATAACTCATTTTTAGAAAAGAAGGTCACGCGTCTAAGAACATTAATTATAATTGATAACGCGTTGGTGAAATCCTAATATATTTTGTCAGACTTTCTTCTATCCCCGCGGCAACGCGCGGGGGTCGGGTACGCTAGTAAATTTATAAGAAAGAATAGACATAAAGTTTTTATTTTCAGATGAAATACAGTTAGTTGTGAAGAAATTAAAAGAAACTTGTGTTTATCAGAGAAAAGAAAAGTTCAAATACTTACTTCTGGACCTGACATTTTTCTGTGTAAACGACAACAATATTAGTCTGGTAAGTTGGAAAAAATACATCTCCAATTACAATAACCATATGTAATTTGCTCACTACAGTAGTGTAGTATGAATTTAAAAAAAGAAATGTTTTATTTTTGCAAAATGAAGAAGTTGTTTATCACACAAGATTCTCATCGAAGATAATTTCTAATAGTTGAAGTCAAAAGACATAATTTGATCAAAATATTGTTGTTTTGCATCTGTTTGATCAGTTAACTAGCAACAAAATGGTATTTTTTTTGAGCAGAATGCAAAAAAAAAAGAAGTTTTTCTATTTTCTTACTAAAGCGTATTCTTATTTATCCAAGAATATTTTAGTTACACCTTTTATTTTAAAGAAGACATTTGAAAACGTATTTATTCAGGGCGCTAAATGTGATCAATTTGCGTAATTGTAATTAACAGCCTTGTGTTCTTTTTGATGTTTTTTCATAAACATTAATATGTATTATAAAAGTGCCTCTTATCATATAAATCACATTTCATGTTATAGGCTACATAAAAACTATTCTAAAACAAATGAAAGCTATCTATTTTATGTTTCAGATTTGCTCATACATAAGTCTAAAATGTTTACATTATGCACAAGCAACAATAAAAGACGAATTGCTTAAGCTGATTAGCAAACTAATTTCAAATAAAAAGTTCATACACAAAATAGCAGGGGATGAATGGCTTATGGGTGAAAACGGATTTGATAAATCTTTAAAAAAAGAAATTAAAAAGAAAAGCAGAGAATGTTTTATACAAGGTGAGTTTGATTTAAAATATTAAAATGATTAATTGTTGTATTGGTTATTGTTTATAGCTAAATTTGTGTCATACATCACATGGAAAATATATAGCCTGATATAAGAAAATAAAAAACACTATATTAAAAAATGTAATGTTAAAATATGCTCTAGTAATGTAGTAATGATCTATATGTGTGCACACAATAACCAAAAATATGTACGTGCGCTGGTTTCAAGTTTTCTTTTAAAATAATGTTAAATATTTATTGCTTTAGATAAATGTAGGCTATATTTTTAAAGTAATGCATAATTTAGTTAAATTTAATTATATATTTTTAATGTATACCTAACGAGTATTATTTCTTATTTCATATTACTTCTCAACATCTACAATTATAAGATTATGTGTTAGAGTGTTTACATTAAATGTTGTTCACTTTAATCAATTTAAACAAAATTAACTAGGAAAAATAAACGAAAAAAGGATGAATGAAAGTCAGCCATCAAGTCCTGGTTTTGACAGTCTAAGTTCAATCTGCACAGTCGACATAATCAACATGGAAAAAACTGACTTTCCTGTAAAAGTCAGTAAACAAATAGACAAAATAGAATTAATTAAAGTTGACAAAACAAATGAAAGAAAAAGAAACCAAGAGCAGACGACTCAAAGTGTGCCATCAAGTGTCAGTAAAATCAGCACAAACTCAAGACGTACTGTAAACTGGTCGATAGAAGAAAAAACTGACCTTCTTGTGATGATCAATAAACAAAGAGACATCATAGAATCAAAGAAAAAAGACAAAAATACTAGAACCCATAGACAAGAAGCCTGGGAAAATATCAAATCACAATTTAAAAGTCAGCATCCCAAATTTACACATCTCAAAACACAAGGTATTATAGAACAATACCAAAGGCTAAAAAGTCAGGTTAAAAAACTGCTGACACAACAAGACGTGTCTACAGTCAGTGGTGAGATCAGTATTGACAAGTCAATAGTGAAACTCATGTGTGAAATATGTCAGGAGGAGTTTAAAGATTTCATGCCTCTATATCAAGATAATGAAGAAATGACATCAGTAGAGCATGACAATAGAGATACTGATATTCCAGAGAATGAAAACAATGAAGCGGATTACATAGATGTCACCAAACATCAGGAAAATGCTGAAGTGAAAACATTGGAAATAGCAGGTAAGTTAAAAATCTGTATACAATTTTATGCAGTTATAGTGTGTATATATTAACGACTAATGTATGTGTGTGCTTGTGTTTACCATAATATTGATGACAGTTCATGACGATAATGTAATCATTGTAGAAGAGGACGACATGGAAGTAACAGAACATGAAAATGATATGACTGAGCAACACATTTACAGACAAGGTATGATTGTTATTGAAATTATATCCAGATAAACTTAAATTATATATATTGAAATGAAAATTGAAAATGAAGTTAAATTGAAGATGCATTTGTATTTTTTTCATGAAGATAACCCGGACACACACTTCTCCGCTATTGACTCGAATTATATTTCGGAGTTACCACCCCTTACACCGTATTACAGCACCAGTCCTGTACATCCCGTGTCTCATCAAATGCCCGAACAAACTACATCATTATACCATGGGCAGGAAAATGTACAGACATATTCAAGTTCGGGTATAGAGAACACTATACAAGAAGAAATAACCACACATCCAAATAGTCATGATTTTTATGTTGACAACATCGCTGGTAGGTGAAATACAATAAGTTTGGATTTATAAATAGATATAAATGTAACATAGTATTGTCACTTAGACAAGGATTATATAATTATTTAGCTATTTGGTATTAGGATTGAGCCGTTTAAAAAGTATATTTTTGGATTCCGTACGTTTGCCTTAGAGACACTTTATAGTATGAACGTATTAATGATTTTCCCAAATTAATAACTACCCCAGTGTTAGCTGTAAGAATGATGGATTATCAATTACTCGATATAATGTTACTACATTACATTGAGTAAAGAAAATACTTATACCATTTAATTTTGAAGATTAATCTAGGTAAATGTTCATACACACATATTTATAATTATATATATATAAATATATATATATATATATATATATATATATATATATATATATATATATATATATATATATATATATATATATAATGTATGGTTATGTATTTTTAAAATTATGTGTCTCTTTCTAGAACAAACCGACTATCTGTCGCACCGACCACCCAAAGCAAGGTAATTTAATTTTTAATGAACTTTAACCAATAAAGTTGATGGATAAACGAAACACTAAGTCTTTAAATATAAAATTTAGCTTATATATTTGTAAAATGTATAACTACATTAATTTATCTATTAATTATTTCAGACAACAAGTAAACACCCGAACTGAGAAAGCTAGATTTCATCTTAAAAGAAAGATGGTGCCCTATGTAAGATCACAAGCCTCCAAAAGAAAGCTAGAACAGGAGGAAATCAAATTAAAAAGAGAAAAACAACAAGAGGAACTGAAGTTGGCGAGGGAGAAACAAGTTGCAGAAATGAGAATGGCCAAAGAAAAACACGAGATGGAGATGGAAATGTTACGGTTAAAAAAACAATGTTTAGAACGTCATTTACAACAGCCGGGTAACACATCTGGCATCTTTACATCAACACAAAATGTATTGGATGAAGACGGTGCAAGTTACATGTCTTTACACTAAACAATTTACTATAGTGAATGTTTTTCCTGAATGATAAAAATACACATTTACAATTTGATGAAAATAGTTGATATTTTCTTATAAAATTTAACTTTTCGAATTAAGTACCGTCTTTGTTTTAATAACAATGTAAGTAAATGTTTTTAACTTTTACATTTTTAAAATCATTAATCTTTACTATAATAATTTTTTTTCCACTGAACGTACTAAGTTTACAAACACGCATACCACAATGAACCAATAATTCTCATCCAATTTGTTTTTAAAAAAATATTTAAATTTTGATTATTTTTTCGTCTTTAACAAAATCACTAAACCGCTAGCATTATTTTTTATTATTTATCTATAATAAAAATAAAAATAAACTTAACACGCACATTTTTTTTTAATATTTGTATTGTGAAATCTAGATAATAGAAACGTGTGCTTTCAATAATAGATTTTTAGTATAATAGTTGTTGTTTTTTTTAACTATTAACATTTACAATATTAATGGTCGATCCCGATAAGGTGGATGTATAGTTTATAAAAATATATTTTAAAGTGAGGTATATTATTATGTTATTTATATACTCAAATGCTGGCTGTTAAATTTTGGGTTTTTACTTTTGATTTTTTAATTTTATTGCTTTGGTAATTATATGTACCGTTAATGTATTATAAAGAGAAAAATATATTTTTGTAAAAACAATTTCCGTAAAAGATATGTACTGAAACAAATAGCAACCTTGAATTATTTATTTTTACATTTGTTATAGATAATTAAAACGGTTTCAACACACAAAAAATATTTGATGGTAAATTTTAAATTTAAAAGTGTAACAATCATATGAGATTCTGAAATATATAAAAAAGACAATTGTTATATATTTAAAACATTTAATTTCATATGTGTATGCTATTACATGATAACATGTTGTGTTAATACACAGAGTATTTAGTAAATTATCTAAAGCACATATTAATTTAGCGGGCCTATTTTGAAAAATTAAGTTTGAAAACTGAATAAACGTCTAAAAATAATGTAAAATTCAAATGTTTAGATTTTAATTAAATCTTCGAATGCATAATTCCGACTTTACGTCTGTTTAGAACGTTCGTTTTCTGCTACTTTAAATAAGTTATAAATTTTTGTTTCCCGCCTAGTTTATCAATATAGTTAATTAAAATCACCCTTCGTTTAGTTTTTACTATTGTGTCTGCCGATTTGTTATCAAAATGTTATAAGATGTAGAAAACCCTGTCACATAACCCTTTTGCACATCATGCTTTTGTTGCATCTTTAGCTCATGTCGGACTCATGTTGTACATATCACACAGCTTTTATTTTTATTGTATTTTTATGAGACAAATACTCAATCAACAGCAAATCGCGGGCGACTTTGTTTTAAGCCATACATTTGAGACCCGTCTATTAGGGGCCGATTTTTTATTAACAATTTTTAGCATATGTATATATATATATATATATATATATATATATATATATATATATATATATATATATATATATATATATATATATATATATATATATATATATATATATATATATATATATATAAATCGCTGCATATTTGAGAGTGGAGAGAATGGGTTAAAATGACTGCATTAGAATAGAAAAAGAAATGATTTTGCAGTTTTCAGACATTCGCTGTCTCTTAAAATATGTACCTAAATAATCTGCATCTTTCAATCTAACATTGACCTTAACATAGTTGTTTTTTTTCAAATTAATTAGCCATACTCACAAATATATTATGATTCTGTGATCAGCAACATACTACAAAGATAAGTAACTTAAGATTACTTATACTACAGTAAAGTTGGTTCAATGTATAGGACATGGAGATGAACTTTAACAAGAAAATATACCATATTAGGATAAAAGACAATAAAAGCAGACCATAAACCAAAATCACAACATAAATTTGTGTATGGTAAATAAAAATGTACTACCACCAAGGGGCTTTTGTAAATGCACAACATTAAACATAACGTAAAGCTATATCCAACACCAGACTAAATGATGCTCTTTAACAAGTACAAACCTATAAGGTTCTCAGTTCTCCGCCTCTACAAATATTTAAATGTGCCACATCACAATCTCAGCCTCATCCCATCTAAATCAAGATAGATTTGAAAATGATAGCATTTTCACACAAATATTCGCATTTCATTACATTAAAAGTATGCAATGTATGTTGTAAACGCAGTGAATGCAAATAATTTTTTATAACAAAAATAATCACATATATTATTATCAATATGCTATTTCATTTTATCTTATTGGTTATATGCATATACAATACAACGCGCTAGGCACTGAATCATTCTTCTATTTACTCAATTGTATTGACATTCCAAACAGACAAATAGTGAACATTTTGTTTTTAAGGTGATTCAACTAATTTAACTAACTTTAAAAAAAAAAAAAAACAGAAAATTAGCTACATGTTGTTTCACCACTTGAAGGGTGTCAACGGATGTGGACAACACAATCCTCCCCTCCCATTCTCTGCACCACAGCCCCAAATTTTCGATGCCTCTTACGGTATATTTTACTTACAGTGAAACTTTTTATCTTTGATGTCATCGAGAAAATAACCCAAAATACAAGCAAGAATATTAAACGCACATTCACCTCATATAGTATTCACTTTAAATCTGTTTAAATTTATTTATATAAAAAAGTCACATATCCAAGAAGACGATAATTATATTTTGGTGAATAGTTGTGTGGTGTTTACCTTCAAGAAAGTGACTCTCAAAATAATGGTCTTGGAGTTTTGAGTTTCCCATAGCATCCAAAAGGTATCTGTCAATTATCTGACCAATGCGAACTTTCAGTGTGTATTTCATTGGTGTCACCAGGCGTTTATAAAGTTTATTCAATGTTTCCATGAATAAAAATCGTGAGAAAACTTCATTTATATAGTTAAAAGTAGGTGTAGGTGTAGTTGTAGGTGTAGGTGTAGTTGTAGTTGTAGTTGTAGTTGTAGTTGTAGTTGTAGTTGTAGTTGTAGTTGTAGTTGTAGTTGTAGTTGTAGGTGTATGTGTATGTGTAAGTGTAGGTGTCGGTGTAGGTGTAGGTGTAGGTGTAGGTGTAGGTGTAGGTGTAGGTGAAGGTGTAGGTGTAGGTGTAGGTGTAGGTGTAGGTGTAGGTGTAGGTGTAGGTGTAGGTGTAGGTGTAGGTGTAGGTGTAGGTGTAGGTGTAGGTGTAGGTGTAGGTGTAGGTGTAGGTGTAGGTGTAGGTGTAGTTGTAGGTGTAGGTGTGGGTGTAGGTGTAGCTGTAGGTGTAGGTGTAGGTGTTGCTGTAGCTGTAGGTGTAGGTGTAGGTGTAGGTGTAGGTGGAGGTGTGGGTGTGGGTGTGGGTTTGGATTCACTTATTGATGCACGTGTACGTTATTTGAATTAAGGAGTATTGTCGCTGCTTTCATAGTTATAAAGAAACCACACCGTATGTTTTTAATGGTAACACATATGCTGTAGAGAAATAATTGTTTTCTGTAAAGTATTAAACTATTTTCCCCCGAGACTACATTTTAAATAATGACATGGCTTTAATTAAATAGCCGGAACAGAGGCATAGCCGATATTGGAATATATATATATATATATATATATATATATATATATATATATATATATATATATATATATATATATATATATATATATATATACATATATATAT